TGGCCGTTATGTAGTATTTTCGTACCCTAGAACGGCCCGTTCTGAAATCAGAACGGCCCGTTTTGGGATACACATTTTAGGCCATTTGATTGGTTTGGAACGGCCCGTTCTGGTCTAGAACGACCCATTCCAACCTATATCTTTTAGGCATTTTAGAAACCCAGAACAGCCCGTTCTGATCGAGAACGGCCCGTTCCAGACTTGGGAACGGCCCGTTTCGATTTTGGAACGGTCCGTTCCGGGCCACTAAAACAATTGGTTTGGGCCTTTGGGCCCTCTGATGTCCTATCTTGTTGTTTGTTTGCCCCCCGGACGAAATTGAGTGTCTACATGGCCCAATTACTAGTCACACCCTCAAGCATTGCTAATTGCCACCCCACTTCTACTACTGAAAAATAGAAAAAGTGTGACCTTCAATATAAGGTCAAATGGAGTCAAAGTCTCCAAAGAACCTACCCTAAAAATAATATACAATGGTTTATAAAAAGAGAACAAAGTGTCTCACAAATATAAAGGCAAAAATAAACTTATACAAAGAAACTATGTACAAGTTACATACAAAAGAAGTATGCCTTCTCTTCAAGACAGGGTGGTCCATATGAAGAGTACCTTGGGCTTAGAAAGCCCACTAGTCTTCAAGCTGTCCAATCCCTCCTATATGCTCCTGGTCATAACTCTAGTGATTGGACCCTTGGCCCATGGTCCATCAGTTGGGTATTACAAAAATGAGATCCTCCATCACTTACCAAAAATAAATTTATTTTAAAGAATTGTATTTCTTTTATATGTTAAATAAAGAATAAATTACATTTTTTCTCTCTTTTAAGATATATGAGTATTAATTGTATTGTGTAACATCTTATTTTTTTTAATTACTTTTTTGTATAATTTTCTATAAATTATTATATGTTTTATTGTAATAATATGTATTTAATATTACCTAAGTTTATTGTCAATATTGAAGTTTATTTAGTTTTATTTAATAAAATTTTATAAATTTAAAATATATGTAATTTGGAAAGGGATTACATGATGCCACTATCCTTTATTTAGAATATTTAACTCCATATTGCTATATAGGATAGATAATTGTTACACTTTAATATAGAAAATAATTTTTTTAATGACTAAAATTAATTAATAAACAGTGTTAAATATTTATTAATCAATTCTATAAAATAATTCATTAAATGTATTAATCAATGTTCTTAGGTGATTTATTAATTTAATTAATCTATAGTTTTAGATATTTTCTTAAATATTACAAGATATTATTTTCTTTTTTCCTAGATTAATGATTAATGGAAAAAAAATATTTTTTCATACCATTAAAAGCATGAATTAAGATATTGTTGATTTAATTTTTAATAAAACTCAAATCCACAACAACAAAAAAATTATCTTGTAGTATATATATATATATAATTTTCTTGTAGTGATCATAAAAGAAACAAATTATTTTAATGATTATGATATTGTTTATTTAATATTTTATTTATGTTGATTTTTTAATTATTTATTTCCATTAACTATGAAGCATTTTTAATCTATAAAAACCCGTACACCTATTCTTTTTTCACAAATTAGCAAAGAAAATTCTTCTTTAATTTGCGAGTTTACTTTTGTTAAAAATGCAAAGGCTAATAATCTGTTGTATCTTGATTCATTTTTTTGTTTCACCCACTTTGTCCATCAGAATCAATGCTGCAACCCAAGGGACATTAGTTAATGTGATAGACCAAGGAGCTCGTGGTGATGGCAAAACTGATGATTCAAATGTATATGACCTTCTACTTTGTTAATGTTTTTATCATTTCTATATGGGGAAGTTTATATCTAATCTAGTATCTATATTTTAACAATATATCTACTCTAATTGATTGTAGGCAATTTTAAGTGCATGGCAGCGTGTGTGTGGAATGGCTGGGCCAGCAACTCTAGTCATACCTGCAGGAAAAGTGTTTTTTGTGAAAAGATTAGAGCTTGATGGTCCTTGCAAGGCCCAAAGTGTTCGAATTCAGGTATAGCTACCTAAACAACTTTGGATCAAACTACCATAATTTATTGTTTCTTGGGGGATATGTGTATATTTTAAGGAAAGACTGTCTATGTACAAATTTTAATATTTGTTTTGTATTTTTTTTATCTTTCTAAATATTATATTATTGTTTTCGTCTCTACTATTATGAGATTCTTTTTAAGATTTTATGTGAATATATTACTATCTATAGTGATTATTATATTTAAGTGTTATTTATTACAAATTGTGTCATGTGACACTTTTAAATTTTTTATACTTCTTTAAAATAAATATTATTTATCTATCATAATATGATTGTTAGGACTAAAATCAAAACTTATTCATATTATGGTAGTTAAAAACCTATTTAAGCCTCAAGTAAATTTCTCATATAAGAATAACACATAGTTTGATGTGCTTCACCATTCAAATGCATGATACTTTTATTAAATAAATTAAATAGTACTTACTTTTTTTTTTTTTGCTTTAATTTGTTGCAGTTTGCAGGGAAAATAGTTGCTCCATCTTTGGATGCATGGGTTGGTGATAAGGGAAAATGGATTGTGATCTCAAATGTAAATGGATTAACAATTGATGCGGAAGGAGGAAATATCGATGGCAATGGTTCTTCTTGGTGGGAGAAATGCAAAAGTTGTCAACGACCAACAGTATGATATATACTTTAAATTTAAATCATATAATTATTTTAATATTTATTAACTTAGTTATTAATTATTTTGGTATGACTATGTAATGCAGTCCTTGCGTTTCCACAATTGTAATGGTCTTGTTGTGAATTCTTTGAGCATGACAAATAGTGCTGGAGCTCACATATCTGTAAATGGTTGCAACGGTGCAATATTCTCTCATATGAATGTTATTGCTCCTGAGCACAGCCCTAACACTGATGGCTTTGATATTGCTAATTCCAAATTTGTAACCATACAAGATTCTACTATAGCAACTGGTAAACTAAACTAACATGCAATTACACAATTTTCAAAGTAGTATTGTAAACTAATTGCATGTGCAACTTTAATTTACCTTATTACCTTTCGAAATAGGTGATGATTGTATTGCCATCAATGGTGGCTGCTCCAACATCAATGCCACTAGGCTTTTCTGTGGACCAGGCCATGGGATAAGGTTTATATAATCTCTATATATCATAGTTTATCTAATATTATTTTTAGTTTATTTATGCAAGTATGATATATTCAACTTAATTTTGTTGTTCTTTATTATTGATGATTCTTATGCATCAAATATGAATGAATCAATCAGCATTGGCAGTCTGGGTAGAGGTGGAGCTCGTGAGACAGTTGAAGAGGTTTATGTACATAATTGCAGCTTCATCGGGACTACAAATGGAGCAAGAATTAAAACATGGCCGGTGAGTAATTAATAAATTATATAATAGTGGATTAGTAACTACCATTTTCTTTAAATGTTTTTATCTCTTGAACAAACAAAAATAAGATATATTCAATTGAACGTTAAATATATGTTTTTAACACATTTTTTATTTAATTATTGACTTTTATAATAATTGTCTTATAAGTTAGATACAGTAAAATAAAATTAACTTATATATAAATTAATAGATAAAAGTTATCACATATAGTTTATTCCAAAACCAATTTTAATTAATGAGGTAAACATAATTTATTTTTATTTATAAAGTAAAAAATTACACTTAATTTTTCTTTATAGTTTAGACCTATAATAAGACTCTTCAAAATGTACACATCTTCTCCTTAGTCTCCCTCAACTTCCTCTCCACCATCCACTTCCTTCATCACACCATTGCCACCCCTGCCCCCACATGCTCTCTCCTTGCCAATTATTAGGTGCAGGTCTCCTTGTCCATGAGGGTGACACTGATGTTTAGACATTGCTAATCTGGAAGTGGAAGGAAACAACTTTCCTGTCCATAGTGGAGCATCTACTTGAGTGAGTCATGTGTAGGGCACATGACACACATCTTTGAAGTCAGGAGAGGTCATGTAATATTTGTTTAAATTTTAATGACTCTTAGTGTAGGTCTAAATTATAAAGAAATGTTGAATACAATTTTGAAAAAATACAGGGGGGGGGGGGGGGG